GTCTGGGCTCCTTCCTGACTCTTTCTACTGCTACTACAGTCTCCTTTTTACTGCTGTCTCTCAGCCACACCCCTGATCTTAGGGTAGGTAAGATTGAACATCCAGCCTTCTTGGATGAGCGAAAAGTGTCGGAGGTTCCGTGTGCAAGTTGTGCACATAAAAAATATCCCTTTTGGTGGTCCTAAAATGGATTAGAGTAGGCTTTGGCCGCCACCGGTGCAAAATTCAAAAAATGAATTCCTGCCAGACTGAAAATGCTTTAGTGTCCCACACGCTCGTATAAACCTTTTCCTGTTGCAAGCACTGTAAAACACTTAACCAAAACAATCAAACTTCAAAGTTTTGTCTCTTTAAGGCTGCAATACCAAATCTGCCTTGTTAAGCTAATTCGAAGGTTGGTTCTGTAGAGCTTACGGCTATTCCTGAACAGCTTGAATGGCAAACTATTTTGCTTTATTTGGGAGAGGGTGTATTGTTTAAGCACGGCTTTTTAGATTCGATGTATATAGAAAAAACTAGGCCTACATCTTTAGCACACTATATATAATAGATTCTATTATTAGACATCTTTAAGACATCTTTGAGCATATAATATATGCCACTTCAATTGTTGTTTATTTTGAGACTGTGCCACGCAAACTTTATAAAAAGACTATGATCATGAAGTATTTTAATAATTTATAATGTGTTGCATTTATTTAGCCCGTGTTTGAAAATAGGCTCTATACGGGCTTTACAATAATACAGTTTCACAAGTTTTCCCTGCTCTTTTTCCGACAAATTATTCCCAATGTCCTGATATTTGGGTTGTCCTCTACATGCATGCATATTTATTAGCTGGGCACCTGTTCGATGAACAGACTCGAAAGAATTGATCGTCAAGTCATTGTGGAACCAGTGCGCACTCTTTATGAACGGAAGCTTCACTTTTTAAAAATAACATGGGGTCTTAGAAGACGGACTTTCCCAAGATTAGAACTAAAAAAAACTAATGAAAAACTGAAAATTAAACTACAGCGACTTGTGACTCCTTCTGTGCACCGTTTAAATGATTCTGAACCACCGTTCATTTTTTTCAAATTCGAAAGATAAGTGGTTCGAAAGTTTCAGGCGACCAAAGTGAGGAACTTTCACAAATATAAAACATAGAAGAAATAATTTGAATGCTCCAGATAGTTTAAAAATGAAATGGAGAAGATTTCTGTTTCAGTTTTATAGACCTCTCCCTGGTTGTGGTAATCACTGTCATTGTTGTTGTGTTTTTGTGGTGTTCACATAAATACTTGCTAAAATTGCCTTTTGATTTTAAAATAAATTGTGCGTTATTAAAACTTCTGTCAAGCTGGGAACTGTAATTACTAACTGTGAAGTTGGTTGTGGAAAAATTGTAGAAGAGTTGGCTGTTAGGTTGCCGCCCTGTACAAAACTTGTAGAAATTCCCTACTATAAAAAATCTATCCCAATCCTACCTGTAAAATAGGAAAACACATCCTCTTACCTGCCTTGATTCCAAATGTATTGACAGGTTTCTCTTTTGGAGCATATTCAAGAATGTCAGGATCTAAAGGGAGGGAAGTATAGTAGGCCTCTATGATGTCTACCGCCCGTCAAAGCTGTATCATGCACACTGCTTTGAGAGCAACTGTTTTATACTCATCTTTTCAAGGGGTCATTTTGTGCTTCATCCTCAAAATGTGAAGAGTTGACTGGGTTTTTTTTCTGATGTGGGTGTTTGCTGTTAGTTTTAGAACTCCATAACAGAGTAAAAATGTGTTGAAGAAAGAATCGCTTTTAAGCTTAGTTTACAAATCTTTCAGGAATGGTGGTAGAGGAGGGGGGGGGGATTCATGGAAATAATTGTGATCCGTAGTTATTCACCAAATTGCCTGCGAAATGACTCACCTTTATTAAAACAAAACAAACCCTGAGAGAGAGAGAGAGAGAGAGAGAGAGAGAGAGAGAGAGAGAGAGAGAGAAAGACAGAGACAGAGAGAGAATGAGAGAAAGAAAAAGACAGAAAGAGACACACAGAGACGAGAGAGAGAATGAGAGAAAGAAAAAAGAAAGAAAGAAACAGAAAGAGACACACAGAGACGAGAGAGAGAGAGAGAGAAAGAAAGAAAGAGACGAAGAGAGACTAAAGGGAGAGAGAGAGAAGAGAGAGAGAGAAGAGAGAGAGAGAAGAGAGAGAGAGAGGAATCCGTCGGCCGGGCGGGCTATCAGATAAGACTCTCTCCTGCCTGGCACCACCAGGGGGAACTGCCAGAAGTACATTATAATGTACACAGAACCTTCTGTTGTCCAGAGTGAGTCTCTGACGGTGTGAGCTACGCAAGCCTGCGAGCTTCTAAAAGCCCTAGAGAGAACG